TGACAATAAGAAAGGGGTTATTTAAAAAAAAAAAATCACATCGTACTTTAAGTTTTAAAAAGGACAGGACCTTTGGGAATATTAAACCTCAAAACAGCCCTGAGAAGTACACAGGAAGAAAGGCGTTGCTGAATCCATTATATGGGTATGAAAACTGAAATACAGAGAAGTATACTTTACTTACTCAAGCCATATAGCAGGTAAGTAACAGAGCCAGGATTCAAGTGTATGTTTTTAGAAGGTACTCATATGTTCATTCATAATAAACCATGGCTGATCACTGATTAAATTTTTGCTATTGTTTAGGTACAGGAGATACAAATTTTATCTAAAATTACATTACTTGTACCAATTTGCATTCTGAAATAATTTATTGAGTGCAAGAAGAAAGGGTAAAGTAAACACGTTGAAAATTGCTTAACACAGTAGGTTGGAATACATCATGTATGTAACAGTAAAAGAATCTAGAAGCAATAGACACTTAAACAAGTAATCTAAAGGGAACAGCAGAAATCCTAAGAGATAAATGGCCAAAAAGATGGAGAATTAAAAATAAAAAGGCTTCCCAGCATAGATGGCATATGGGAACCAGGCCTTGAAATATCAGTAGAGTGGGGGGTGTGCAAGTGAGTGATAGTTCTAATGGTGAGAGGGAAGAGTGTGAGGAAAGGCATGGAGACAGAAGAACTCATCAGACATTCATGGAAATCTACAAGCTGCTCGGTGTGAGGGCATATGTTGAATCAAAGACAAGTAAGTATTTTCAGGGACAGTGTGTTTACCTCCTTTTCTTAATACTATGATGCTATCTCTAAAATTCAGAGGTCTTTCTTTTGGTCCGTAAGAATCAATTCCCTCCATATCTCTTCCATTAATTTTCCTTTCTCTTTATTTCTCTCTGGCTTAAAGAGTATGAAAATTCCAACCAAGAAATCCTACCTAATTTCTAAATTACTCATTAAAATCTAATATAACATTATTCCAATAATTTCAGAGGCTTTGAGAAGGAAAATAAATGACCCTGAAGAGGGTATGTTTGTGTATATTTGTACATAAATATAAACATTATTTTCCTTTGCTAAAAAACTACTAAAAAACTAAACTTGAGATAAACCCATCCTTTGGTTATAAATATTAGATCATGATATACATTTTATTTTGAAGACTGACGTCTGAATTGGCTCTTATTTGCACTATGTAAACAAGAGAATCTGATACCACTCTGGTAAATTTATAAAACTTCCTAATTGTGTTTCATATATTCCCTCAGATTAACCAAAAACCATAACTTTTCAAACCATATCTTTTATAGTATTCATGAAGTTTTATTATTCATTCAAGAATTATATCTTGAGAACATTTTATGAACAAGGTGTGAATGTAGTCACTGCCATGCTATAATTCCATGCACCTAAAATGCATTCAATATCTTCAAAACACCTTTTGAGTAATAAGATAGGGTAAAAATAAATATATTCATTTAGTACCTATCATACATTATTTGTTTCTATAAGATTCCACTTTGGCTAAGGACATGCCCAGGATTAATCAAACACCTATGACTGCCTCTTAGTGATAGATGATTAAATATTCACTACTTTTACTTGCTAGTAAAGTTCCTCCCTCAAGTTAGATATTACACATGGCAACACTCATATACGCCAATAACAGTCAAGCCAAAAATCAAATCAAAGAGGCAACGCCTTTCACAGTAGCATCAAAAAAATGAAATATTTAGGAATATATTTAACTAAGGAGGTGAGAGATATTCATAGGAAGAACTATGAAACACTGAGAAAAGAAATTGCAGATGATGTGTACAGATGGAAATCCCTACCATGCTCATGGATAGGTAGAATCAATATTGTTAAAATGTCCATTCTAGGCCAGACGTGGTGTCTCACGCCTGTAATCCTACCACTCTGGGAGGCTAAGGCAGGAGGATCGCTCAAGGTCAGGAGTTTGAAATCAGCCTGAGCTAGAGTGAGACCCCATCTCTACTAAAAATAGAAAGAAATTAATTGGACAACTAAAAATATAGAAAAAATTAGCCGAGCACAGTGGTGGATGTCTGTAGTCCCAGCTACTCAGGAGGCTGAGGCAGAAGGATTGCTTGAGCCCAAGAGTTGGAGGTTGCTGTGAGCTGGGCTGATGCCACGGCACTCTAGCCCAGGCAACAGAGCAAAACTCTGTCTCAAAATAAAAGAAAAATGTCCATTCTACCTAAAGTGTTCTACAGAATTAATGCACATCCTATCAAAATTCCACCATCATTCTTTACAGATTTAGAAAAACTAATTCTATTCTTCATCTGGAACCAGAGAAGACCTCATGTAGCCAAAGCAATCTTAAATAAAAAGAACAAATTGAGAGGCATCAGTCTTTACTACAAGGCTATAATAACCAAAATAGCATGGTACAGGCACAAGAATAGAGATATAGACATTCAGAATAGGACATAGATTCCAGATATAAAACTATCCTTATAATGGCATCTAATCTTCGACAAAGCAGACAAAAGTGGTGCTGGAAACACTGGATATCCACATGTAGTAGATTGAAACTGAATCCCCACTTCTCACCTCTCACAAAAATCAACTTATGTTGGATAACAGACTTAAACCTAAGACATGAATCCTTAAGAATTCTGGAAGAAAATGGGGGGAAGACTCTTTTAGATATTGGTCTAGGTAAAGAATTTATGAAGAAGACCCCAAACCAATCACAACAGCAACAAAAACAAACAAGTGGGACCCAATCAAATTAAAAAGCTTCTGCACAGCCAAGGAAACTGCCTTTGGAATGAATAGACAAACTACAGAATGGGAGAAAATATTTGCTTTCTACACATCCAATAAAGGGCTGATAACAAGAATCTACATAGAACTTAAGAAAATGACCAAGAAAAAATCAAACAACCCCATCAATAAATGGGCAAAGGACATGAACAAAAACTTTTCAAAAGAAGACAGACTATTGGCCAGCAAACATATAAAAAAGTGCTCAACATCTCTAAGCATTAGGGAAATGCAAACCAAAACTATAATGAGATATCACCTAACTCCAGTGAGAATGGCCTCCATCAAAGAGTCCTTAAATAACAAATGCTGGCATGGATGTGGAGAGATTGGAACACTTTTACACTGCTGGTGGGATTGCAAATTAGTACAACCTCTGTGTAAAGTAATTTGGAGATACCTCAAAGAGCTAAAAATAGAAATACCATTTGGTCCACCAATCCCACTACTAGGCATCTATCCAAAGGCAAAAAAAAAAGGCATTCTCTAATAAAGACATCTGCACTTGAATGTTTATAGCAGCACAATTTACAATTGCAAAGTTGTGGAAACAACCCTAATGCCCATCAATACATGAATGGATTAATTAAATGTGATATATGTACACCATGGACTACTACTCAACTACAAAAAACAATGGTGATCTAGTACCTCTTATATTATCCTGGATAGAGATTTAGCCCATCTTTCAAAGTGAGGTATCACAAGGATGGAAAAATATGCACTACATGTACTCGCCATCAAACTGGTACTAATTGATCGACACTAAGGTGCTCACATGGTAGTAATACTCACTGGGTGCTGGTCAGGCAGGGTGGGTGGAGGGTGAGGGGTAAAGGGGATGTGGGGGTAAACCCACAGCTAATGGAAATGGGGCACACTGTATGGGGGGAGGACACACTTGTAGCCCTGACTTGCGTGAGGCAAATGCATTTTATGTAACCAAAATGTTTGTACCCCCATAATGTCCTGAATTTAAATAAATAAAATTTTAAGCAGAGGATATCATATCAGCAAATTCCTTGAGTGTTGCAAAAAATTTCAAGGCATTGAAAAAAGACTGCAATAGAGTGAATAGTGAATATGAGAGTATGGCACAAAATGAATGTGGAGAGATAGTTAAAGACACAATTATGTAGAACCTGTGGACTACCTGACTATCATGAGAGTTAACTAAGAAAACATACATGAAAATACTCCAAGGAGGGAGCCGGCACATGAGGAATTCTCAATAAATGAAAGTTATTAGAATCATAATTATCTCTGTACCAATAATCCCAAGAAGACAGCAAAGAGATAACAATGTAGAATTGACACAATCTTCTCAAGAAGTGGTTTGGTCTCTGTTCAGAAAAAATCTTGGTTTGTTGAAGTCTGTAGAGAAGTGAATTTTGATAAAATAACTGGTGACCTTTCTAGTTAAAGATACCCATTAGCCCAAAAAAAAAAAAAAAAAAAAAAAATCCCGGGAGAGGGATTCTAATATTCTAATACTCAAGTTAGCATCTAACAAACCTTGTCTCTCTTCCCCCCCACACACACACTCACACACATACATACACACATGCACACATACACAGGTTGGGGGTTTATTTATTTATTTTGTTGTTGTTGTTCATTTATTTTGTTTTATTTTACATTCAGGATGAAATTCTTCCTCACTGTTCCCAACCTCCATGATCTGGGCTGCAGGTGCCTTCTTCTGCCAAGTGCACTGTTTTAAAAATGGGCACATTAAATATGTATTTGCTGTTGAGTTTCTGAGATTGCTTAGGGACTATTTCTTTTCAGAATAAATCACTTTCAACAGCATATTTAATATGAGATGAGGGTATCTGTCTTACTCATCAGAGTAATAATTTTTTTTTAAGTCTGGAATTATCTTGAGGGTATTCTCAGCTGCATTCTTCTGCTGTTGCGTATTTATCTAGCTAGTGCCTTTTTTTTTCTTGAGATATTATGTTTGAACCTGTGATATTCTGCCTAGTTGGTTTGACAATGACTGTGTGATGGGTGTACATCCATTGCATTATAATTGCCTTCACCTCTGGCTCCCACTCTTTCCCTTCTTTCTAGTCATGGGTAATAAACATCAAGATAGACAAAGTTGTAGTAGCAAATAACCCCCAAACATAAGTATTTTGCCATAGTAACAAACAACCCCAAAATAGAAATATTTTCGATGTTAACTCAATAGCTTACTTCTCATGCACGTGTCCATCATAGGATGGCTGTACTCTATTTTCCATCATCTCCACCCTGGAATCCCAGTTGACTAGGCAGCCTTCATCTTGAACATTGCTATTCTTCCAGCAGAGGAGAAAAGAGCATGTGATCACAACTTGGCTCTTAAAGATGATGCTCATAAGTAATACATGTTACTTTTCCTCACATTAATTGGCCAAAGCAAACTACATGGGCAGGCCTGAAATCAATGGGGCAGGGAAGTATAATCCTCTTACAAAGAGATGTAGTAAATATCATTGAACAATAAAAGATTACTGTACAGGCAGGCTTCAACAAAGAATTGTCTACACTTTCTAGAGGGAAGAGTTGCAAAAAATCCATGGTCTTTGGAATCAGTAAGACCCAGATTTGGGTCCTGGCTTTGAGACATTATAAATATAGTATCCCAGACTAATGACTTCTACTTTTGGCCCTCTGATTTTCTCATATAAATACAGTGGTAATAATAGAATCTGAAAGGACCATTGCAAAGATTAGAGACAATGTATGTAAAGGATGACCTCTAATCCATAGAATTGTTCAATCTATTTTAGATTTTGTCTCCAATTGCTTGATTTATCAATATTTCCTCTATTCTGGTTCTATATAAAATCCATTGCAAACAGACTTTTTTCCACCATTATTCTGATTTTTTTAAGTATATAATGACCACTTACCCGCCCAAAGAATACTCCTTAGTCCTTCACCTTCTTGACTTATCATTTACTGTCCTTGACCACCTCCATGCTGAAATTCTTTCCTCTCCCTCCAAAACTCAGCTGTCGAATACTGTGCTTTCTACCTCACTAACTTCTCTCCATCTGGTTCTTCTTTTTCCTTCCCATATACTTAGTGCTAACATCACCTAAGCTTCCAATCTGAGCTTTCTTCATTCCATACCTCTCTTACTTTTAGTAAGAGGGAGTCCTTGGTCTTCATCTGACTCTGCTTCTAACTCCTATATGGCTTAAGTCCCCATTTCTTCACTAGTATAATCAAGATACTACTACCAACCTCAAAGAATTGCTGGAGATATTAAATGAAAAACTATACATGCAGTGCCTAGCTCTGTATCTAGAAAATATCAAGAATATATCAAGCATGCAGTACATTTTAGTTCCCTCTTCTGTCCATACCTGCCTTGACAATCTTCTGTAAATATTATCATTTGATGTGGAAGGTGCTCAAAATCCTACCTACTGCCTCTTTCACTTGAGTGTTCCAGGAAAAATGTTTTTTCAGTAAGTGATGTCAGTGTTTACTGAAAATCCCCCTATCTTGAGACTACCTGTAAGACTTAGAGGTGAGGTCACACATAACACAAGGGAATGTATCATTAACTATATATTTATCTCAGATTTTAATATAGCATAATTGTCACAGTATAATTACTCCAGGTAAGTGGAGTTTGGGATTTAATGCTAAACTATCTTGGTTTCATTATTGGTCCACAACTTCGTAGTTCTGTGATGCTGAATAAGTCACTTAACTCCTCTTTATATAATGTTTCTCATCTATAAAATTGGTATAATGATGGTAATAATCCCATTTTCATATTGGGAGGGTTCAGTTTGTTAATACAAGCAGTGTGCTTAAAGAAGTACTTGACGTGATAAACATTCAATCAATATTAGCTATCATCATCAATAGAAATTGTATTGCTGGGAAGAGAGCTTTATGCACTGCCTAACAAAACATACCATATCACTACCTGATTAAGAGTTACCCTCATCCCTCAATGAATACTGCTGTGTGTGCTACTGTCCCTCTTTACCATTTTCTCTGCCTGACACTCCAGGATGGCAGTGCATTCCCTTCTAGCCTCCCAGGAATATCAGAAGAATTCATGAGATAACATCCACAAAGCACTTTCAGCTCCCTGGAAGTAAGGTGTTTGATAAATAAAAGGTTATTACTATTGCCAGTGATATCTTATATTACTCTAGCCCTTCTCAGCCCAGAGGGATACCGAAGTGGTTTGCAAAACTTGAAGCACAAACAAGAATCATTCAACAACAGCTAAGATGAAGCCGACACTGCTCAGACAGCCATTGATTCTTCGGAGCCTCTGGTGATCTAAAACCACTGGTTCCATCTAGGGTATAAAAAAACACTTGAAATTGGTTCAAAGGGAGATTTGAGATATAAAGTACTTAGGGGTCAGTCCATTGCATAAATCAGGGGGCAGATATTAGTTCAGCCACTCAAATTTACATGTAAAACACAAGTAAATAAGTAAAACCAGCAGGTCAGTTTCCAAACTAGACAAGGAAGGGGTATAGCTCAAGGTGAAATTCCCTTGTAGTTTCCTGGCCCATATTCTTGCAATCATATATTGAATGTCTACCCTCTGTAAAACAAGCTGTGACTTTAAGACAGTCCAGTGTTTTTTTTTAAAAGGCTTCCAAACATTCCCCTGGTCTTTCAAAATGTATTCTGCCACAGCACAGTATTATTTTGTAAATTGATCTAAAGTATACTAACCTTAAATCCAAGCTTACCCACCTTGACTGGCCTTTATTCTGGCTCTAACTCTTAATGTGCCCACTAATTCTGCCTCACCCAATGCAAAGAATCCCATCTAAGCTATCCTATTATCCAAACCTTGGCCACACTTCCCATCTTATTCCAGCCTGATGACATGACTCTGAAATCCACCCTCCATCACATGACCCTTGCACTGCCATTGATGTTCAATCGTTGTGAATCAAGACCTCAGACCAACTGCTGAAGTGCTGGTTTGCACTGGCCTCTTTCTCCTGTGACCTGCAGGTAAATCTTCTCCTATGAACCACCATACATGAATATCCCTGTACAATAGGCCTTAAAGTAGTCCATAAATGTCAAGTGGGAGTAAGCCAAATGTTTACACCCAAATGTGTCCTATCTTATACAATCAAAAGAATCATTTCAAGGAAAACAGTAAACTTTTAACTTTACTTCCTGATTCTATTTGCCTCATTAAACCTGCCTTCTCATATCTATGACAAAGAATGTTTGGAAATATTCTAAGAATGTTGTAAGAGAAGCATAATGAACTAGTACTATCTCTACCAATTTAAAATAATCTATGAATAATAGATTCATAGGTTGAAGAATAATCTATGAAAGTAGAGTAATTTTAAAGTTTGGAAATAAAGTATAGTAGATAAAACAGCAACCAATGGTGTTAATATATATTACATTTGGACAGAACTTAATATTTGAAAGAAAATTATTCAGATATTTGTCTCACATGTTACATAAAATATATGTCCATAGGAATGTAAGTTAAAAGAAAAAAAAAGCCTTAATAATACTAGAATAAAATACTAAAGAATTATTTTACAATTTCAGGGTACATATGGCCAATCTTAGCATGACATTATGTGTAGGCATTACATAGAAAACAATTCTAAAATGTTATTACATAAAGTAATAAAACCAGAAGCTGTGAAAATTAAATATTAAATAAAACCAGAAGCTGTGAAAATGTGAGAGCAAAATTAAAAATATGTGAAACTTTGCAGTTTATATGAAAGCCAAAATTTAGCATCATTAGAGATAAAGTATTCCTACACGATAAGAAAAATTATAAAACCCAAGAAGAAAAGAGACAAAAGTAACATAGAATAGATTTGAACGAAATACAACAGAAATATAAGATCCTTAATCTTTTTGAAAATAAATTCTATGTAAATTAAAACAACAATGGGGTACCATTTTTGAAGGGGGAAAAGGCATTAGTATAAATAGTTGGAAAGGACACAAAATGATATAATAATTTTCAAGATAATTTCCCAATATCAAATTAAACATGGGTATATCATTTGCAATAGCAACTTCAATTCTGTAATCTATTTTAAAGAAATGTTTATAATAGAGGATAACAGGACATCTTTTTAATATTCATTATTAACTGTTAGAAAAGATACATAAATAGATGTATAGGAATCACTTGGAAATATGAAACAAGCAAGTCAAAAAGAAGCCTATTAGTTTAATCCCATTTTTGAAAAAAATACACACACATATATGTGCCTATGTCTATGTCTGTGTGTGCTTTGTATGTATGTACATACAATATAAAAATATTTGAAAATATATATCAATATGTTACCAGTTTTACCTTTGGGATATGGGATAGCAGTGATCTGTCACTTTCTGCTTTTGAGAGTTATTTTTATTCTAAATTTTTATTAGAATCTTGCATATTTTTCTAAAATCAATAACAGATATACAATACAGTCAAAACAGATGAATGTGACCAAGTGATAGAACATGATAACATGATAATATTTCAACATGAAAATATTTATAACATGATACAATTTGAAATAATATATTAGATATCTAAAATAATTAAACACTTTTAAAATCTCTATAGAAATCTTTTATCAGGAGTTAACTCTGAAGATGGGATTATGGTGAAGATTTACCATATTGTTTTAGTTTTTTAACAGTTTATTGCTTGATTTCTATTTTACAGGATCATTCATTTTACAGGACATCAGCAAATACTGTACAATATTAGCATAAATATTGTCCTAGAGACCAATGTCAGCACTGTGTTGGCCATGACATGGTTTTGTGTGACCAAGGTGCATCTCCTAACTTCTCCAGGTTTGTCTCCTTTGCAAGATCACTGTGATGTCAGCCTCTTACTTCATTGGTCAAACTTAAAGGTGAGTTGGAAATAGTTCTTGTCTTATCCAAAAAGCAAATACTATAAAAGCATTAAAGCAACTTGTAACTGAATAGAAGGTATAGTAAAGCTAACCAATCTTCCTGGCTCATTTGAAGTTCCCAATTCTTCAGGATTGAATGTTGCCTTATATAAATAAGTATGATTTATTTTAACAAATAATTGACTTTTATTCATTTACCAAGAATTAGATGAGTTATCTCTACCTCTGGAAAGCTTCTCTGGTTTTCCTCTAACCCATGCATTCACTTCCACCCCAAGCTGGGTTAGAAGTCCCTCATATTCACTTTCCAAACTCTGTATAGACTTTTCATATACATTGATTCATTTTGTTGGGTACCTTTCATT